AGTTATGCAGTAAGTTCTCATGTAGTTCTTCTCAGTCTTTATTGACTGCCCTAATGATGGCTTTTTCTTTGATCTGCCTACTGAGCTGACCAAACTAACCAGTGTGGAAATGTGTTATTATGGAGTATGAGCTGTTTCTGTACTTTTGAATTAAACAGACTTATGCACTATCTTGCAGTCATCTCTGGTGTTTAACTGTTAGCATGATCGCCAATATGATTTTTGCTCATGGCAGCTGGTGGGCTCCCAGACAGTGTTTGCGCATGATTCAGCATATATCAAATGTCTGGAGTGTTCTCAATAGTCAGTTTTGGATGCAGCCCCCCTCTTTTGTGGGAAAAATTCAGACATTTAGGTGATGAGCTATCTCATGTTGCTTAATCTTATTGGCAGAGAGCAATCTCTGTTTTATTTTATTTAGAAAACTATTTAAAATGTAGCCTGCATGCCTGCTTGTGTGGGCTGTTAGGCTCCAGTAGGTGTTTCTGGCCTTTTCTGGATAAACAAGCCTAGACTTCTGTTCTTGAAGGTTTCGGGAGGGATGGCCTTTCATGCAGGTCTTTCAAACGCAATGTTTTATCCTCACTACTGTTTATAGGACAGCAATTTTTTGTTGCATCATCCAGTTTTTGCCTTTGTTAGAAGGAATGGTTGCACTACGGGTTATGTTGATATAATAAAAGAAGCGGAAAGAAAATCAATTTAGAGGAGGTCTCCTTACACAAGTTATACAAACATTTAATAAACTGGCGCTTGGTCTGGGAAATGGAAATGAGATATAGGGAGCCTTTATGCTAATAAAATTTTCTTCAAAGGAGTTTATATTGTTATATCTGTTAAAAACTAACACTGAAAGTGGTAGTACTAACTGGCATAGTTACTCTAGTACAATTTATGTAATGTAGAGCAATTCATTCGGTGCTGGGCATTTTAAAGGATTTTGAAGCATTTTTCATACTGAATATATATAAGTTCCTGAAAATTCAGGCCTGGAGGGAACCTCTGGGTCATGAAGTTCCGTTTCTATCTGTCACAGGCACTATCACTTGACAGGAAAATTGGAAAGATAAATATACCAAAAGCTTATTTTTATCACAACATTTTTCCTTTTTGTTTGGTTAAAATGCAACATAGAAACTTCTAGGAGTAGTTCACTTTTTTGAGCTGAAAGGAATGTCACCATTTGAGATATTTCTAAGTTTGCAATGTATCAATAGCTAAAAACAATGAGTGATGAGCTCAACCCTGGCTCATCATCAGAACCATAGACAGAAGTGGATCAGAATACCCCTAGAAAAACATGCACTGAAATATTCTTCAGGTTAATCAGAGAAGGGAAAAGAGCTGGGACCAAAGCACCGAGGAAACTGTTGTAAAGTCATATATATGCTTATATATTTAGGGGAAAAAATGAATTCAGTAATGGTCAGTAAGAACTTCCTGATGTTTTTAGCTCACTGATCTGCATATCCTTTTCACAGCTGATTTTTGTTAGGCTCTGCTTCGAGCATGTAGTACTAGCAGGAGGTGATGTGTTCTTTCACTTAACAAAATACCATGCGATAGCTTTAGTTGACCGCACTGCAATATCATAATAGTGAATTCTACACATTGTCAAATATGCAGAGATCATCTACTAGGACTTATTCTTGCACTTTATTCAGTAACCCTCAACTACCCAAAGTTAATTGATACACTTTATCATATCTGCTAGTTCAAGCTAATGATTTGCTCCAGATAGAGGATATACTTCCTGATTCATACAGTTTTTTGTCAAGCATTTTGACCTTCCATGCTTTAATGTGTGCAGTTTAATATAAAAAATCGAGATACCTCCTCATCCAATTGAAGAGGCTCATCTACAAGAGAGAAAAATCAGTACTGTCTTTTGTAGTCTTGACAGGTAGCACGTCACTGAGAACGTCTACCAGAAGTTCAAGGCAATTAAACAAAAACTTTGAGAACCATTTTGAACTTTACCTCTGAAATACCTGTGTGTGCGCACATGTGTCTGTATAAATATAAACATATCTCTCTCTCTCTGTATAAACACTGTAGTTAGCTTGACTTGATTTTTTTCAGAAAACAGCTTAAACAAATCTACAAAATAAAGACTCTTTCTTGATCTTGAAAGACTCTTATCAACCTAATTTTGTTTTAAATCTAATTACTTTCAAAGAAATATTTTTACTCTTCTTCCCTCCCTTTTCCTTTAGTAATGCTTCCTAGGGCTCAAAATTGTCCTGATAATTTTTTTCTATCTTCTTACTCCTCTGATGTTTTAAGAAAGGTCTTTTTCTACGATTGACCAGGAAGGTATTGGACTATGCAAAGGAATGCTGACTGTCTAGACAGAAAGCATTGCCAAATGTACAAAGGCCTTGATAGAACAGATAAGCATTTTTTTCCTGCTTTCAGTTTATAGTAACTTCAGGTGTTGTGGCTATTGCACTTTGGGATTTGTGGTATGATTTTTTTTTTTTTTTTTTTTTTCCCTCCAGGTTTGCAGTGTCCCTGTAAAGACTCTGGAGATAGTGTTTGAGATCTGGATGAATATTTTGTTCTGTGCACAGTGGTTTTATGTATAGAACTGTGGCTAAAAATGGGTTTATGTATCTGCTATCCATAAATCAAGGTGCTGTGTCAGCTAGCAGTATCCCAATAGAATAGAAGTCACCTCAAATTCGCACTGAATGTGGATAGCTAAATAAACAATGATATGCTTGCCAGTCAGGAATCATACCTCCCAGAATGATGCGAGATAGTAAGGGAGTAAGTAGAAAGATTCATTCTGCACACCACAGCTGAATTAATATGAGTATTTGTGACTTGGTGTAAAGTAAGCCTTATTCCTAAAGTGATGCTATATTGCTAAGTACCTGCCTATGATGAACAAAGTCAAGGAGTGACTTACATAGCTAAGAGCCTTATTTAATATACTGATCTTAGCACTTGAATGTGCTTTTGAAGGCACATTTATTTTCTACCTGCATTCTGGCTTTCCTTGCCTAGTGCATGTGAGAGAATGAATTAGTAAGGCAGCAGAACAAGTAGGTCTGTATTTCTGTTGTATGAGATTGTCTCTTGTTCGTGGTTGGGAGAATCCTTGACTATGAAGTCACTTTAAGCTCTGATGCTTGTGACTGAACATTAACAGCAGTATATTCATGCTCTGTACCTTCCACATTACATCTGTAGTTGGTTATGTATTTGTTTAAAAAAAAATGGAAGGGATTTAAAAAGAATTAATGCTTCTACTCGTTACCTGAACTAGCATTTTACGCAGCAGTGGAGAACTTTGAAACCTTTTCGAACGGCTCAAAAAGACCTGAATACTTCATGAAAAGCCACTCGGTTGTGAATTGTCTTGCAGAAAGGGATAAACAGTTGGAAAGTCTTTTTGAAATGGACGATAATTTTTCCTGATATTTCCACAGATCACAATAAAATAATTACTTCAGTCAGTTGTCACCCCCTTGGAGCACAGATCATTGTTGCTGAAGTTTGGGAAGTAACTGGCATGCTGAGAGTGCTAATTCATCACTGGTGCAGTAGTCCTCTCTCTTAAAATCCCTTTAAGTAGATCAGCTGTTTCAGTAGATCAGCTTCAGTAATTCAAAGCTTGCTTACTTAATTTTTCTTAAGCACATTAAGCAGTTCTAGAGGGGTTGTGCCTGGGATTTCTGAAATATTGCCAGGTTTCTTTCATTCTATTCTAATCATTTATTTCTTGTAAAGCAAGTTCTTATACTCTGTTCATTACAAATTTGTGGGTATTCCTTTTTACTCAAGCTCTTACTTGGAGCTGAAGAACACTGCAAACAAAACAGAAAGCCGGAGATGGAGGAAGGAAGACACGTGCAGTTACTGTCCTCTCTTTTACAACAACCTGTTGCCTCCCAGTGCAGAGACTAACCTCGTAGTCTCTGGCTCTTGCCGGACCGACAATCTGCAGGTCAATTAACCATGCAAAGATGAATCCGTTTTGCCTAGAACGGGTGTATATTAGTGCTTTTGAGTCTGGAAAAGGTGTCTTGCCCTCTACGTGGAAGTAATTCTGCTTGAACTCTGGGGAAAGGCCTTGTTTTGTTTGGTAGGGATCTTTTTTTCTTTTCTTTCTTCTCATATTTCTGAAACTCCTAGATTCAGACCTCTGTAGTACAAGGACTGAGGAATCATTGATGAAAACCTTGAATCATACTTTGAAAATGTAGCACATGCTGTGCATTTTCAATAGAAGAAAGCAGTATACTTGAAAGCTTTAAAACATGTTTGCATATTAATTTGCTGTCACTTAGTCTTTGAAGAGAGTGTTTCTGGATTCTGAATTTTTGGTGGTAACTGCAGTGTATTTTAAGTTTGAAGGGAAATGATGCGTTTTGTTTGCAAAGCATTCTGCTGCTGCTATTCAAGCCGGTTCTTTGGCTTGTTTGAAACCAGTACGACACATTACTCCGCTGGCAAATGTGCAAGTGTTTGTGCTGTTTTAAATTATAATTAGAGCACCAATGGGTACTTGCAGCAAAAATGGGAAATAGAGTGAATAACCCCTCTCACTTTTTGAAGTGTTGATAGTTGAATTACATTAACAAGATAAGAAGCCTGTATTGCTAACAGTGCAAAATCTACTCTGTAAACTCAGAAGAATTCTTTCTGTGGGAATTTCAATCCAGCATCTTTCATCAGTGCTCAATTCATATGACACAAAATTAAAAGGTTTTCTTGGGTTTCTGCTACCTGATTTGTGCTTTATGTGCCATGGTGGAGGGAGAACGTCCACAGTAGTACACGCATTTCTGTTTAGATAACTTACTGCTCTTAACTGTGTAAGAAAAATATTTTATTAAGGACTTAAAATACATTTTTGTTTAATTTTAAGCAAAATAATCCCTTAGATACACACTTGTAACAGCAATGTACTTGAAACTCTTAAATGTCAGTAATTTAACTTGGTAAACATTGCAAGAACTTTCGTAATTGTTAACTCCATTTCTCCCTAGGCCTCCAAAGGATGAGTTGGCAGCAGAACCACTAAAATATGCTGAACAACTTCCTGTGGCTCAGATTATACACCAGGTATGCCTTTTTCTTTTAAGGAATTTCTTTGAGGATAAACAACATCTGTAATGCACTTTTCTGGGTCATAGAGAATCAATGTGCTTATGCGGGAAGTATGTAAAAACAACATGTTTGTGTTCAGATGACAGCTATTAAATTTTAAAAGTGTTATTCAGAACACGGCAATGAAAAGATGCTTGCCGTATGACACAATTCTCACTTCAGAGGTTGCTGTTAAAATTGTATGTGTCTGCTGATTTAAAAGAAAGAAAATCCATGAGTTTCTTGTAATTCGCATCTTGATGCTACAGTTCAGCTGCATTTTCAGGAGTGGGAATATGATTTGGATCATTTTTGTGGTATAATTGTCATGAAGAGTTGAGCAGGGAAAGCCATCTCCCTTCCCAATATTATCCCTTCCCAATGTTATTCCAAATGAGATGCCAACAGTATTTCTGTCTCCAGCTACAGCCTTGTCCTCATACTTTCTGCTTTGTACAGGATTTTTTGCCAGCTTTTTGTTTTTTGCACAATGAAAAACAGAGATTAAGATTTTTGCCTAGGTTATACCTTCTAACTGATCTTTAAATCAGTGGAATAGCACTTAAATAAATACGCAAATGAGGGCCGACATGGACATCTGAGCTGGGACTGAATAGCAGGATACAGTTTTTATTATAGCATGTCTAGTTTTTTATCAGTCTGTGGCCGGAAGAGTCAAAAGATCTTTTCTGTGCAGAAGATTCCGTCCTCCCTTACTCTTCCCTCAGACTTCAAGGTCTAACAAGCCTAATTCTCAGTCCGTCCTGCTGGTAGACTAGATGTGGGTAGCCCAGCCCACATTCATACGTCTTCCTTCTGCAGCTTGATTCTCAACTGTTAAAGGCAGCGGGCTCTGCCTCCTTTGTGTAATGACCCGTGGCCAATAACGTGCATAAAAGTTGTGATATACTGTAAAATCTAAGTCTTGAGACTTAGTATCTCCCTTCTTGGTGACGCTCTCGAAAAAGCAGAAAGTTACTGCTCTGTTTCAGTTAATTGGAATTTTCTCAGGAAAATCTGTTTTGGGGCTTATTTTTGGATGCCTGTCTTGCTTCAGGGATTGAGAAGCTAAATTTTCTGAAGTCAGGACTGAACAGGTCAGATCACTGTTTTCCTGATTGCATCTTGCAATACAGAGTATTTCAGGTAATCAGGTTTACTCTGAAAAAGTGGGGAAGATCATGACAGTTCACTTTGGGAGACAGAAGGATACAGGCTGTTCACTGCCTTGAGACAATGGAAACTTCCAACCTGAAAAATGGGACTTGATATTGGTCAGGGTAGTAATAAGCCAGAGTAGACAATGTTCAATACAGCTGTGGCTTCAGACTTAGCTGGAGTTGGACACTTAAAGATCAACAGGAGCAAATGAAAGTCCACCAAATGTCAAAGTGGCTTACAAAATCCTATGAGTATTAATTATTATCGCAGAACTTTATTTTTCTTTGTCAATCAGTGTTTTTTAAGCAGGTGAGTTGTTTACTGCAGGCAAGCTAGTTTTACCTTAAAGGAAACATGAGCTTTATTTTAAAACTTTCAAGCGTACAGGTCTTTTCTGCAAGACGTAAACACAAGGGGTTTTTAAAACTTTTGGCGGAAATCTGCACCTCTGGGAAGAATATCTGATGTCTTCAGAACATGGAAGATTGGAAATCAGGACCAGTGTGTATGTCAGGAAGTCCCTGGTGTTGTCAGAGCTTCAAATGACCCAACAGTCTGCAAATGTCACATTTAAAATTCTGTCTTCATGCCTGACTCTCAGCATAAGTGAATTAAACAGCAGAGCAGGCAGCCAGTCAATATGCTCTTAACAGTGAGAGCGAGCAATGAAACAGTTTGTGAGTTGTTTGGAATCGGTAAATAGAAACTGCACAGAATGGCTCACCTAGAGGAAAATCTCAAATAGGAAACAGAATTAACCTTTAAAATGGACAACCAGACAAAATGTCATAGTAATATTTTTACAACATTAAGTAAGTAATAACCAAGGAGACTTCATTTGGCTACTGTGTGTTACATCGCAATAGCGTATTGTACTCTGGGAAGGCAAAAATGTACTTTTTATGTACTCTTATCTGCTTACTGTAACAAATTTACCGGTCTTACAGAGCTGTGATCCACACAGAGAAGCTAGGCAGGCCTAACGTGACTGCAAAACTCTTCGCTGTAGAGAAACAGAATAAAAGATCATTGTTTAGCTGTCGTATGAGGAAGCCAGGCATCATGTCCTAGCTTTCTATGATGTTGATGCCATTTTTGAGCCCCAAGATGCTTGTAGTCAGCTAAGCATACGCTACAGCAGTTGATTAGCATTTCTAAGTGCGTAATATATCCTTTCTGAGGGAGCTTTGACAATTGGAACGCGTAGTGCAAAGACCATGTCAAGTTTATATAAACAAACAATTTTTACCTTGAAAATATAAAAAAGCAGTGAGTACTGTTTGTGGTACTAATTTCTGGTGCTCAGAGATATCATATCAATATCAGATTTGATATCATATCAGATATCAAAATAGAGATCTCTGTGTTTAATATGGCCCTTTGTTGGTTCTGTACCAAATGTAAGATTTTCTCTTGTTAACCCTTCTGCATTTTTACCTCTAGGTAGGAATAAAAGACATCAGTAATGATCACAAATAATTCCGATGCTTAAGAGTTTATATTTGTCCGTAAAGATACATTAAAATTTCCTAATATTAAACAGACAGGTATCCTAAATCAGTATAATGCTAAAGTGCATTGTAGTTATATGGAGCAGCCAACGTGGCTCTCAGTTTTTCCAAATGTCACTGCAAGTTTATTTTTCTGAACACTACTGAATATCCAATATATTTTCCTTGGACATTGACACATAATTACTAATTAAGTTCAAGACCAAACCCAAAACGAGATTCAGGGTCTCCTTTGGTTAAGTAGTTTAGGATGTGCCAAATCTGATTTTTGTCTTGTGGAATTATCAGATTAGAAATCAAAAGGCAGTTTCTGTTGATTAGCACAGTATTTTTTCAAATACCAGCGATTAAGAGAACGTTAGAAATTATTAGTTACAGTGGCAGTATAAAAACAAGGAAATAACAACCCTATGAAGTTCACAGTTCCAATTTTCAGAAATATGTTACATTTAATGCATTAGACCATGGTTAATTAAATATACAAATGCAAAGAAATGAAAATAAATAGCAATATTTAAACCCCTAGTTTTAGACATGGACCAAAATCAGACATGTATAAATAAATAAATAGCTTTCGCCATTTTGAAAAACAGAAAGAAAAAAGTGTGCTTTTAACTGAAATAAGAAATACAATAGTACCTGGCAAAGGAATGCGATCTTTAATATAAAATAAGTTCTATACATGACTTGAACAAATCATGTTTTAAAATATTCAGAAATATGTGGGGAAAAAAGTTGCAGGAGCATCTGTTGCAGCTTACTTAGCTTGAGTCTGGATATATAATAAGTTGTAACAAGTTACTAAGAAGTTGTAAAATGATGAGTTCCTGCTTCTTAACTTTACACCAGTTAGGCATCTATGTGAGAAGCTACAAGGATGGCTTGTAGGTGCAAACAGGAATGGTTGTGGCCCGTTCTATCAAAACAAATTTAAAGAGCTTATTTTCTTTTAAATTAGCCAAAACATGTAGAAAAGGACAAGGGAATCTGGTGAATAAACAGAACCAAATCTCAGCTTTCCTTCTTAAATTAAATAATCCTAGTATATCACAAGCATTCGAACTGTAATCATGTAGTCTTCAGATGAAAAATGTAAATAAAATTCTAAATAGCAAAAGTAAAGTTTTAAGAAGAATACCCCCCCAAGACATCTTTTACAATGAGATTCATTGTATATAAAATGCCACTATGTAGAATGAGTTTATGAATAGTAAGGCCAAAAAAAAGGAGAGAATAGTTAAACTCTGCACTTTTGACGTGGTTCAAACAGCTCTAGTGAAGGAACAGGGGAAACTACATTTGAGAAGATTCTATTTTCATTTATCATAAAGAATATTTATTACTGGGCCTTCAATTCAGCATGGTGTTTTAATAAAAGCACCAAACTTTAGTGACACTACTCATGCTCTGAGTGTTACTGTGCGGTAATATATACTTGCCTAACTGTGATTTAGGACGTCGAAGAGACTTAAATTGTAACAAGGTGATGACGTTACAGGTGTCTTACTGATGGAATAAAGTTTTATTGATGAAAGACACATTTCAGTGGACAAATGCCAGATCTCCTGATGTTGTGGTAATTGAAAACAAAATGAAATGGCAAATTCGGATCAGAATCAACTTCTGTACTTATTTATTATAGTCCACTGTAAAATATTGAGCAGATAAATTAGTGTGCTGTTAAAAGAGAGTCAGAAAGACAGTATTGAGTTGCCCCATCTGGGCCACCTTGAGGGAATTGACTACAATCTACAATAATGGAAATGAAATAAGAAATTTAAGAAGGAAGATGGGAGAGAGATCTTGTGAGTCATAGGTGGGGAGGCTGATGGTCATCTAAGATGACTGTGGAAGTGCAATGCAACTGCAGTTCTGTTTTGTCTTGCAAGAAAATCTTAGTTACCATAATTTCTGTAATACTGTAACTTCAGTCTGCAAGAAAGAGCCCTTTGGTTTGAAGATTAGTTTTTATTCATTCTGAGGACCTCATTTTGATATGGCAGAGGGGTGTTAGTTGATTGCATTCGTCGATGCTATTCCTGTTTCATGCTTATTTAATTGGGAGAGATTTTCTTCAGTAGCATTTGGCAGAAACCGTGGAAACAGTATTAACAAAGTAAAATACGCCATGGTGTATAGATTTTTTTAAAACATTTTTTGATTATCTGTAGCAGAAAAATTTTAGCTTTCAGACTCAAATGTATTCACAAACATTAAATTAAAGTGATTTTGTGTGGCTTGTGATGTTTGTGAAATACTCAGCATGAAAATTAACCCATCACATGCTCATGCAGAGTCTTTAAA